TTAAATTGCAAAACACAGTCTCCTTTCAGAAATTAGTCCCATTGTCTAAGCTTCAACTTCCCTTGAGACTATAAGCTACTCCCTCTCCCTCGGATAAGGCCTGCTCTAGGGGGGTTGCTGATTCCTGGGGCAAGTACAGGACTGGCTTCTTTCTAAACTACCTCCTCTCCACCCACCCCACCCACCCCAAGCTACCCACTGTCTCTAATCTCTCCTGCCTTAGGACAGAGGGTGGAGGGGAGGGAAAGTTCTGGAAGCCCAGTTAGAATTCTCTGGGCTTGGGAGATCATGTGATTTGTGAAGCTGACTTGTTTTTCAGGAGGCTCTTCAGCTCTTTGGAGCTCTTTGGCGTTCTTTCCTGGGTTCCTTGGCATCTAGCCTTGGGTACTTCTCTTTTTTTTTTTTTTTTTTAAAGATTTTATTTATTTATTCATGAGAGACACAGAGAGAGGCAGAGACACAGGCAGAGGGAGGAGAAGCAGCCTCCATGCAAGGAGCCCCATGTGGGACTATCCCAGAACCCCGGGATCACGCCCTGAGCCAAAGCACTCAACCACTGAGCCACCCAGGTGTCCCTATCCTTGGGGACTTCTAACCTGCAGTTTGCTTGGACCAGGGGATGTGCTCCCCTCCAGCTCCTTGTTTACTCTTTCTGCAGCCTTTAGAGTGTTAGGATACTTCCAGCATTTCGATCAGAGGCCTGTTGGCATAGTGGGCAGGACCTTAGTCCACCCTGTCCTGGCTCATCTGATCCTTGGGGATACACGTGCTTCTGCGGCACCCCCCAACTCTGAGAGTGCAGGCCAATTCTCATGCTGGCAGTCCCCTCTTAGATTTCCACGGGACTTGGTAAATGCCAGGCCACGCCATCCATCTGGGCAGGGTAGGCAAGCTGAGCTCTTCTCACCAGCCTTGAGGTGAGGGGCAGACCCTGGGGGAGAGAGGCAGTATTGAAGGCACCCCCATAAACCTTTACAAAGGGAGTCCTCATGAATTCTCTCCCAGCCCTGCACACCTGCTCCAGAGGTGAGAGCTTAACACCCCCTACCAGTTCTCAAAGCTCCCCCCACACTATTCTCTAGGCTGCATCCTCCTATTCTCTAGGCAGACACTGGTCTGCCTCCTGGTTCACTTTGGTATTTGGTATCTTGTATTTTGAAGCTGTAACTCAAAATTTTAATACAAAGGCCATCTGAGGAAAAGTAATTTATTTGGCCTGGGAGAAGGAAATTGGTCAGATTCTGAGATTCAGATCTAATACTTTAGCAGCCAGCCAGCGATAGAGATAATTACGTAGCTTTCACAGGTATGTGTACTGTAGTCTAGCTGGGGAAGAAAAAAACCTTCCTGGGCCTAAGATCTGAGAGAAATTTGCCACACAAAGACATTATTGTTTCTAATTGTGAGTTTGACAAATGAAAACATTTTTAATCATACAGTGATATATATTAATCATCCTCTCATGATGTGAAATGGCCTTTGGATACAGCATCAGGAAGTTTAAGTGTGGCCTTGAATCTGCTGTGAACTTACTGTGTCGCCTTGACCAAAGCACCTCTGTTTTGGGCCTCAGCATATTCTGCTGAAAGTGAGATGTCTGGGATTCATTATCTAGTTTTTCATAAGTCTGTGAAGCCCTTAACACTGTCTATGTGACAAGAACAATGTTCAGGGATCTTTTTTTTTTTTTTTTAAAGATTTATTTATTTACTTAAGAGAGAGCACTGGGTGGAGGGGGAGGGGAGGCAGAGGGGAAAACAGAGAAAGAGAATCCCAAGCAGACTGAGCCCAACTCAGGACTCAATCCCATGACCCTGAGACTGAAGGAGTCGGTTGCTTTACGGACCATGCCACCCAGGTGCCTGAATGTTCAGGGATTTTTTTTGTTTTGTTTTGTTTTGTTCAGGGATTGTATTAGAAAGACATGGCGGATTAAATGGTGGTCATCCAAAAGATGTGTCTCGGAACCTGTGAAATGTGACCAAATTCAGAAAAAGGGTCTTTGCAGGTGTAAATAAGAATCTTGAGATAATATCTTCCTGAATTACTCAGGTTGACCCTAAATCCAATGACGTGTCCTTATGTGAGACAGAAAAAGAGAAGACAGACACACAGGGGACAAGGCCATGTAAAGCAGAGGCTGTAGCAGGAGTCACACAGCCCCAAGCTGAGGAAGCCCTGGATCCACCAGGAGCTGAAAGGTCAAGGACAGGTTCTCCTAGAGACTTCGCAGGGAATGCAACCCTGCCATCACCCTGGTTTTGGACTTTGTTTTCCCAAGCTTTGAGAGAATAAATTTCTGCTGTTTCATCAAATTTATGGTAATTTGTTATGGCAAGCTAATACAGAAGGTGAGAAAGAAAATGAAAGCACACGGCCCAGCAGTGGAGACACCTGCTTTGGAATCAGAAAACCCCATTGGGTAGCTTGAGAGAGTTATTTAAACTTGCTAGTGTTTAGTTCCTTCCTTTGTAAAATAAGGATAAAAATAGAGATTTTTTTTAAGGTTTTATTTATTCATGAGAGAGACAGAGAGAAAGGAAGAGACAAAGGCAGAGGGAGAAGCAGGCCCCTGAGGGAAGCCCGATGCAAAATTCAATCCCAGGACCCTGGGATCATGCCCTGAGCTGAAGGCAGACGCTCAACCACTGAGCCACCCAGGTGCCCTGACACTGTTTTTTTTTTATGCTTCATTTAAAAGTTTAAAAAATAGTAACTCTTTTATAGGGTGGTGAGGATTAAGTGAGAGAATGAATGACTTAGTTCGGTGCCTGGTTCATAGTAAGTGCTCAATAAATGTTAGCCATTGTATTGAGGTTATGCCATAGGTGAGGTGGCAATCTCTTCCTTTTTTTGAACGCTGTCTCTAACACTTATTTGGTGGGATCATCTCAACAGTGAGGCAGGGTATGGGACAAATCATACCGTATGCTTTTGTCTTCGAATCTGCCTAAACTTTCAGAAAAGGTGAATTCTGGTTATAATGAACACTAAGGGCATCCTGAAAGAGAACAAAAGGAAACTGGATCCTAGGACCCTGGGATCATGACCTGAGCTGAAGGCTGATGCTTAACTGACTGAGCCACCCCAGGCACCCCAATATATTTGGATAATTAAAATAAATATGATGATGGCATAACAATTACAAACAGAATGTTCTAGGAAACTGAATATTAAGTGCCTAAATTAAGAGGTGTCCAAATTTATTTAAGGTTACAGACACATTTTAAGATTAACATTGAGCATTTAAGAAAAGCTAGTGGCATATGATCCAGCAGTTCCACTTCTGGGTCTCTATCTGAAGAAAACAAAAAAACACCAATTTGAAAAGGTATCTGCACCCGCCCCCCCCCCCTTCACTGCAGCATTATTTACAGTAGCCAGGATATGGCTGCAAACTAAATATCCACTGATGGATAATGGATAAAGAAGTTGTGAGATATAGCAAAATATATATAATGGAATATTATTCAGCCATAAAAAGAAGGAAATCTTGGGGAGCTTGGACGGATTAATTGGTTAGGCATCTGCCTTTGGCTCAGGTCATGATACCAGGGTCCAGGGGTCGAGTCCCACATCTCCCCTGCTCAGCGGGGAGTCTGCTTCTCCCTCTAGCTCTGTCCTCCCCCCACCTCAAAATGAAATTGTGTAGCTTATATATTTTTAGGTAGTAATATCAAATTTGGGCTCAAATTCAGCATTAAGGCAACATGGTGGGTAGATTTTTTTTCTTCCTAAAATGAGGTTTTTCTAGATTTTCTCTGAGTCTGTGAGCTCTACTGTATCATATAGTTAGGTGCTTTTTTGCAGCTGAAATGAACTTCTACGAAATATTAGGAAATCCTCCCGGCTCATTGTTCTCAATGCACTGGGACTGTAATCACGGGAGCTGTTGCTGCTGTGTTTTCTTTGAAGTCCTAGAAATGAGCCACAGGTGTCTTCCAGCTTTGGAAAATCACAGGTTGTCTGTATTATAATTCCGATGAGGACAATGTGATGGGAGACAACAGAGGGCTGTTGAGGTCTGTAGCTGTTCAACCCCCAAACTAGCAAGTGTTTTAGCTTGCCTAGAGGCTCTTCTCTGTGACTCAGGCCTTCTCTTCTGGTGCTGGAGCCAGAGAATGTGTAAGCAGGTAGTCTGACCCGAGCACCAGAGATTGCCATAAAATTCATGTTTTGTTGCCTCTTCTTCATATAATCTGTTAATAACTACCAAAGTTTATCATCTTTTTTTCTTTTCCTTTTCCTTGTTTGATATTGTATATACTGGCTCCAGTATATAGACAGAGCCACAAAGCAGCTGATGTTCCCCCCTCCCTTCCTCTTTGGGGGTAGCCAAGCACCTGAGCACCTCAGATTTTTAAGTTTATGGATTTTTAAAAATATATTTATTTATTCATGAATGAGAGAGAGAGAGAGAGAGAGAGAGAGAGAGAGAGAGAGAGAGGCAGAGACACAGGCAGAGGGAGAAGCAGGCTCTATGCAGGGAGCCTGACATGGGACTCGTCGATCCCAGGTCTCCAGGATCAGGCCCTGGGCTGAAGGTGGCGCTAAACTGCTGCCACCCGGGCTGCCCAAGCTTATGGATTTTAAGTGTGTACTCCTGCATCTGGATGTTGTCTTCCGTCCGACCTTTCCAGGCCAACACTATCTTCTGTAGTGTGCCGAATCACAGCCCACAAACCCAAGTAGGGGCAAGTTGACTGTCACTGCTGAGGCTGCCACTCTTTGTGTAGGCTCCGGAAGCTCTCTGCCACTTCCTGGTCATGCTGGGTCACAAAAGGCCATGACGGAGTTGGCCTCGAAGCCAGTGTCCCGCTAGAAACCGATGCAGCCCTTCCTGTTAGGTGTGATGGTTTCCTCCAGTAGGAGCTGAAATCTCTAGTCTGAAGTGGCTATCAGACTTCTCTCCTTCTGCCTCTCCCAAACATTCAGCCTTTTTCCTTATATATTCTTTTCCTCAGTGGGCTGAGGCTTTTTGGAAAACAGAAGCCAGTTAAATCTCGTGAGACCTACTTCACCTATCTTGCTACAGAACTGTGTTCAGGTAAGAAGGTAGAGGGGAAGACACAGGTAGAAAATATAATAGCTCAAAGCATTATTCAGCTGTATCAACTAATTCTGGAAGCAATTATACTAAAAAGTTTAAACAATTTGTAAAGACCTTTTTTTTTTTTTTTAAAGTTTAGGTTCACAGCAACATTGAAGGAAAGGTACAGAGATTTCTCATTTATTTTCTGCACTGCATGCCTCCCCCATTACCAACATCCTCTACCAGAGTGTTACTGATGGGAAATAGAAGCAGAAAAATGTTCACCTTTAGCCCAGTATGCTGACCTAGAGCTGTGGGTCCTGTCCCCATGCTACTTAGATAAACTTTCTAAATTGTACAACGTTTCAAGAATTCTTTCTTGGCCATTGTGCTCCATAATCCCACATTTTTGGTGGCCCTTATGGGGACCCATATGGGGACAATGGAGTGAACTGAGTCAGTGTGACTTGATCTTCTTTACTCCTGGTCTTTGTTTCTTTCCTGTTCTTTTTCTTTTTCAGAGATGACCTGAATAGTATGAACCTTCGAACATGTTCTGCTCAAGAGAGAACCTCTTACCAGTGGCTACACTACAGGGAGGGGTGGACTCCTGATGCTTGACTGGACACTATTACCTCAGCCATAACGGTGTTGAGCTAAGAAATCAGATTCTCCTTATTTTTCCTGTTCTTTTGCTGTATATATTCTCTTCAGGCATGGGATGGCCACATAATGTTATTAGGATGGTCATTCTAAGACTCCTGTGTAAGGTTACCTTCTAAGTATCCTGGCATGATCCCTCACTGAGCATGAAATCCAAGATATGGCTGTGTGCTTCCCAAAAGGAAAGCACAGCTGGAGCTATTACCCAGGTGGGGCGCTCAACCAATAGGTGACTACTCCCTTGGTGCTAGATCATGGCTAAAGCCCATGAGAAAGTTGCCTGGATTAGACAGGAGTTCCATACTTTTTTTTTTTTTATATGTCTCTCATTTGTCCTATGGTTTGTTTGGCATTATTGGTCTCGCTCTCTGATTGAAAGTACTTCTAGCTTAGATATATGATGCTTCATATGATATAAAATAGCTGCCCTTTCTTGGCAAAGGCTAGGGCCTCTACCCCATCCATTAATACTAGACCCAAGCTTACAAAGGGTATGATTCTTGGTCACCAAACATATAGAACCCCCAAAAGGAAAGAGGCAGCCCTAATTTCTATGGTGTTTCAGTCCATTTACCAGCATCTATTGTAGCATAGGATGCAGTGGGGGAGCAAAGGGAGGTCGACACCCCTTCTCAGGTAGTACAAAGGTATCAGAGTTGTTGAGAAAGAAGGACATCTCCTGCCACTTGGAATCCTGGAAACTAGCAGTATTCTTGATGGGATACCCATTCAGGAGCTGAGGGGGATTTTGGTAATGGGCTCCTAGTTAGTTAATGTACTCTCCTAGTTTTGTAGGAATTGACTAAGGGATCAACATCCTCAATCCCAGAGGATTCCCCTTTGGCCTGTCTCCTAACACACTGGAGTCAATTTGGACAACAGGATTGAAGGAAGAAAGTGCCTCATCTTCTTTTGTAATAATGCCTGGCCTCCATGCCTCTGGTGCTATTGGAGCCTCTCCTCCTACCCTTTGCCAGCAAAGGAGCAAAGAGCATCTCTCCCTGGACTGAAACTGCACACTTCATATCCCTACGGCTCCCCCAGGTAAAAATTGGCAGTGGGGAACAACTTGATGAACTTTAAAGTGGACCCAGGTGCAATATATTTGGTATTTAGACTAATTTAATTTGTTAGTTTAATTAAGATAGAGCTGTCTGGGGGTGCCTGGGTGGCTCAGTGGGTTAAGCATCTAACTTTTGTTCTCAGTTCAGGTCTTAATCTCAGGGTTGTGAGTTTAAGCCCTGCACTGGGTTCCATGCTGGGCAGGGAGCCTACTTAAAAAAAAACAACAAAAAAAAAACATGTGTTTTGAGTGAGTAGCATTAAAACTTTTATTCTACCAAAGCTTACTAAAGGTCAAATAAGCTCATGTTATCTGTTGCAATTTGTCAGCAAAAGATGGCTTAATATGATGGTTAATTTTGTCTGTCTAAAAGTTCTCATGGGTAACTTTGTTTTAAAGTTAAAAAAGCTTTTAAAATCTTTGTAACCTGAACTTTTAAAGTTCCTCTAAATTAGGTGACAAATTGGGTTAAACTTATTGGATATCTAAGTCTTTTCCAAATAAGATAGTATATTAAATCATTGATTACTGAACCTAGGTTCATCTGCTTTTGGCTTTAGAGACTGAGGATACTTGGGGTTATTGGTAATCATGCTTTCTGCTTTATTGAAAAATTATAGTATGGAAAAACATGTCTTTTGAAACTCTGAAATATAAATTTCAGATCTAAAGAATTCTGGTGTAACAGTTCACAATTGATTACTACTTAATTTTTCACTCAAGATTAAGGTTGCTAAGAGTTAAAATTCTGCTAAATGTAATGAAGACTGATGGAAATTAGGGAAGGAATTCTGTATGCGAGAAAAGATGTTTTTATTTATTGTTAAAGATTTATTTATTTATGAGAGAGAGAGAGAGAGAGACACAGGCAGAGGGAGAAGCAGGCTCCATGCCTGGAGCCCAATGCGGGACTTGATCCCAGGACTCCAGGATCACGCCCTTGGCCAAAGGCAGGCGCCAAATCGCTGAGCCACCCAGGGATCCCCCGAAAAGATGTTTTTAATAAGAAAGATACCAGGAATGGGAATACATTTTGTTGAGGGAAAAAGAAAGTAATTTGGCCCTAAAATGAGACTGGTTATTTGGAGAGAAAAGGCTTGGGACAAAATCTGAATGAAAAGAGAGTTGTAGATTTGTGAAGGGAAATTTTTAGAAAATAATTTTATATGTGGATAGGACTAAAGTTGAAATGAATGGATTTTTAAAGTACACTGGTATAAGATTGAAATTCTGCTTTTCTCTGTTAAAATGACGAAGTTTTCTTATATTGTTGGTGTGTCCCCAAATGACCCCAAGATCAAGAGCCACACGCTTTTCTGAGCCAGCTGCTGGTGCCCAAAAAAACCTCAGGAAGTTTTTTTTTTTTTATAAATATTTTATTTATTTATTCATGAGAGACACACAGAGAGCAGAGGGAGAAGCAGGGTCCCTGCAGGGAGCCTGATGCGGGACTGGATCCCAGGATCCCGCCCTGAGCAGAAGGCAGATGCTCAACCACTGAGCCACCCAGGTGTCCCAAGAAAGTGGTTTTGAGTAGAAACTCAAAGAAAACATTTATGATCTCATACTCCCCGCATATCCCCCCCTTCACCCCCTCCTTGGGCACACTAAGCATATTAACTACCAACTTCATACAGCAAAAGTGCAGCTCTTAAAAAAAAAAAAAAGTGCAGCTCTTTTTGCCCACAGGTCCTGTCCCTGTACTACTTAAACTTCGGAAGCTGTACCACACAATGTCTCAAAAATTCTTTCTGGGCCTTTGCATTCCACAGGTCCTGCAACAGTACACTGATTACAAGTGAGGGATATAAAAAAAAAAAAAAGTGAGGGATCTACATGGATACTTCACAATCACCCAATATCCATAGTAACATCACTGGTTCACTTTTTTTTTTTTTTAAAGAAAATAATTTTTAGATAGGTATAGTGCACTTACTGCCATGGAAAGATATCCGTATTACTTTGAGAGGAAATTAAAAATCTATCAGGATGAATCCAATGTTTAAGAAAATGTATACGCATAAGAAAGCTGAAATGGATCTGTACCATCATGTCACAGCGGGAATCTTGGGATATCGACAGAATCCACAAATTCTAAGCAAGGTTTTCAGTAACTTGAATTGGTGAGGCCATCTGAAATGGACTGAGGACTCTCTGATATTACCTTGTTTCACGTCACGCTTATTATTTTTCTATAATTTACTGCAGCAGACTAGTACCTGAAGGTACTGGCAATATCCCGCATACCAAGGCGCAGTTTAGCACAGCGTTTAAGGATTTTCCAGTAGAGGTAAGAGATGGAAACTGTGAGGAATCTTGATACAGATGGATAAAGTTTCTCAAGAAAAAAAAAAGGGGGAAAAGGACAACTGAACTGTTTTCTGATTCTAGGGGGTTTAACTAGGTGAAAAACAGGGTGAAGAGATTGAATCAGAAATCAGGAATTTGAGCAACAGGGGTCATCTCTAGGTGATCATTTCAGGGTGGAAAAGGAGGGAGGGGAGGGAGATGAGAGGGATGCTCCTGAAGGGTCCTGAGGCCCCAGCAGCTGCCACAGAGGACGTTCCCCCAAACTGTAGAGAACAGAGTCCCCCTCCCCTGCACCCCGTCACGTACTCTGGCCGGTCCAGGCGTCCACATTTCGCCCCCACGAGGAAACTCGGAGTCGCGGAGGACGCGCGCGCCGCCGGGGCGCGTGTGCCCTCGGGGCCGGCGGAGACGTCCCGCGGCGGAACCTGTGAGGTAACGGTGGGAACCCGCACCTGCCGGCTGCGCGCCAAGAAGAAAACCAGGCTGCGGAACGGTCCTGGTGGGGTCGTCGGCCGCCGCCAGGCCCACCCCGCTCGCTCGCCCGGGGGCCGCCCGCCCATCCGATCGCCGCGGCTTCCGGAAGCGCCTCGGGCCGCGCGCCCCCCGCGCCTCCGAGAGGCGGCCGGCGGCTAGTGCGCAGGTGCAGACGCCGGCCCCGGCCAGGAGCCCCGCCCCGCCCCGCCCCGCCCTTCCGCCCCCGCCCCCGCAGGCGCCGCCGGCCGTTTACTTTTGAACGGCTGCCCCGCGCTCTTTCCCATTGGCGGACGCCGCGCAGTTGAATGTTGCACGGAGACTGCGCCTGCGCCCTGGGGCTCCGCGAGGCCCCGCCCCGTCTGGGCACCTGAACTCCCCCGGGGCGGAGGAGGGCGGGGACGCCAAGCATCCCCGGGACGCCGCGTGCGGAGGCCGTAGAGCAGTTTCGGGCTGTGGAGGAGGGCGGTCTCAGAGTCCCCGCGGTGAGTCTACGGAGCGTCTCCTCGGGTCCGAGAAGGCGTCCCCGGGCCCCTCTTCTTCGCCTGTAAGCCCGGCTGGGATGCCGGGTGTGCGCGAGGACCGGGGGGGCGGCCTGGGTGCTGCGCCTGTGCCCGCGCGTCCGGGTGTGAGGAGTTCGCGGGCTGCCGTTTTCCTCCCTCGGCTGTGGAGCCGCTTTCTGTGAGCAGGCCGGCCCGGCGTGGGGCTGAGGGGCGCGAGCGGGACCCCGCCCTCGCGCGGGCTCCGGGGGAGGCGCCTTCGGAGGAGGCTCGGGGGGATTTGCCCTCCACCGCGGAGAGGGAAGGAAGGGGGCTGGTGCGGCGAAGCCCGTCAGGGACCGTGCCCATTTTACAGGTGAAACCGCGGCTCACAGAGGCGCTAGCACACACCGACCCAGGGTCCCACAACACTCGGTGGCAGAACTGAGAGATGTACTGACGTGCTGGTGGGAATAACCTCAGTCGGTGTTTATCATTTTAATCTGGCAAAATCTTTCACTGCCATGGATGGTTCTGGTCCTCAAGTTAACTTTTACTAAGTCACAAGTGCGCGTGAATGTTTGCTCCGTCATCGCCATTGTTGGCTAACATTTTCAAGAGCTCGTAAAATAACTTGACGCTACAAAAAAGAGGTCCTTTGTGACAATTTATTTGGTCACAGGTTTGTTGGGATATGCAGTGTACAAGTGGTACCTCGCCTGCACCAACAACTGTTGATATTTGTCACCATTTTTGTGAAAACGCCATGAGGCACGGGGAGATAAACCTCCAAGGGTGAGATAGCTATTCCTGTGATGTCATTTTAATGTTTTTTTTTTTTTTTGAGAATGTAAATCTAAAACATTAAGATAAAGTTGATTTTAGAATACGAATAAAAGAAACTGAAAAAGTTGGAGAATATACTCAGTCGCCAAGGGGGAAGATCAACAAAGTAGGTAAGCTCTGAAAGTTTAAGTGAATACAAAAGAAGTTCTTGGTAAATTTCCCAAGTGAATGGTTTAAAGTGGAAGATGAGGCTTTTAAATCTGTAAAAAAGACATGTTTGATGTATAAAATTCAAGCCATCTGGGCGGAGCATGAAGTGAAAACAGCTCCCTCATCTGACCTATACCTTGCAGTTAGTCACTTTTGTATATCCTTTAAGAAATTTTACAAGGATTTGTGTGCATTTGAACACGCAAATGGTATCATTTTATGCATACAGACCTGCAGGTTGCATTTATTACTTAAATTACCTGGCTACCTTTTTACTATGTATTTACATACTGATTTGCTTTTTTTTTTTTTTTTTTTTTTGATGACTTGTGTAGCTATCCTTTGAAGGAAGGTACCATACTTCAGTCTGGCGAGGTGAAATTTGGATTTTTAGATAATGTTAGTTTTAACATTGTCTTTCAGCAAACATATTGCTGAATATATTTTCACTGTGAAAAATACTGAAGAAAAAGCAATGAAAACCTGAATTTCTCACAAGTTCCTGGTTAGATCACATAGGTAGTTTCTTTCTTAGTTTGGGGAAATAGATTGATGTCAGGATGCAAGAACCGTGCAAATGGACAGACTTAAAGTCCTATCTGACCATAGGATTGTTTTTTTTTGAAAGTTAAAAAAAAAAGTTATGGTGATCCTTCATTATTTTTGTATATTTATACAAAATATACATACAAAATTTTTGTATGTTTATACATACAAAAGCATTT